AAAAACTGAAACCAGGAAAACTGAAAAGAGCACTAGGCTAGGTTATACTAACCACAAAATGGACGGTAGGACGCTGTTTTGAAAATGGATAGGCCTTGCTATTCACCGGGACAAAGTTATAAATGAGAAACTGTCTGCTGTGCTGTAGGTGATTTCCAAGGGAGAGTCAATTTTCAACTACCTGGTTAACCAGTGTAAACCTCTGGAGGAGGAGAGAAATTCAACACTTTCATTTTAATTCAAATGTTAAAAGACCTCCAGTCAAAATGAATCTGACTGCCTAGCACTAAATCCTTATTTATGAGAGATTAGCCACAAGAACTAAGAATCAACATTTGATACTACTGAACTCTGTGTGTGTGTGTGTGTGTGTGTGTGTGTGTGTTTGTGGGTGCGCACAGAAAAACTACATTATGAGAGGATCAGAGAATTCAGGGACACATCAACACTATTTCTGGGTCACTGCTGTTCTCTGACAAATTTGGGGAGAGTGAAACAGAATTTCATGTTCCTTTTTTCCCTCCAGTCCAGACCCTCTTCCCTGGCACTCTGCCTTCTTTCCTACTGTCTACATACTACAAAAGAAGCTGCACAGGGCTTTGAGGGACCTCAAAGACTTTCCGCCCCTGCCAGCTCAGGTGAATACCCAGTGAAAGTTCTGCCCTGTGGTTCATGAAGGGTTTGAGAAGTCTGTGAAAATATTACACTGAGTTAAAGTCCCCACGTGAGACTAGATCCTCTTTGTCTGGACTGCTTGGCTGAGAACATATTGAGATGGAGAATAGCCATATTTAACGTGTGCTACATCCTTTCCACATCATCCTAGTTTGCTCTCTCAATGACCACGTGAAGTTCTGAGTAAGCATAAGCCACACCATAAAACATCCTCTGCTGATTGATTCCCAATCACGATTACTTTAGGTGGAACAAGAACTGAAAGACGCTTGCAAAGCACTCTGTGTGAAGAAATCCCCTAAATTTATAATTTCTCCCCAGTTTTTACAATTCTCTTGCCCATATCTAATCTGGTAGCATTGTGTTTTAGTGATTGCATTAAAGAATCTTTCCCAAGCTTCAAATTCATTATTACAGAAATGAAGTACTTTCTGGGTGCGCTTGTATTTATTTGATTTACACAATATTTAACTTAATTGTGTAATTATAGATATGAACTTGGAACTACTATGGATCCACATCTGACTGCTGGGAGCAAACATGCAAAGGGTGTACTAGGGAGGGGCTGGTAGCCTCTAGATTTCAGCTAGTCATGGGCATTAGTCAATAAATCTTACAGAGGGAACAGAGAGTGACAGCTAACCTAGTGAACTAATAAATGGAAATCAGACAAGAAAGTCTTTATTGTATTCCCAATTTACAGATGGAGAAATTGAGGTACTGAAATTTTAAGTAACCTATCACATTGCCACTAAAACTCCTAAAGGATACATGATTATGTGCAAATTCTAAGCATCATCTAGGCAGCAGTAGAGTAAAAATGGCCAATTATATTCCAGTGAATATTGGGTGTGCCGGGAGTGCCCTGGAGGGATAGCTAAAGCAAGACTCAGGGAAGCCTTCTCCAAAAAGGGGATGCTTAACATGAAGCACAGATCAACCAGGCATAAGAGGGGCAGAGTATGATGTGGACAGAGGGACCAGCATGTGAAGGAGGAAGACCAAAGGTAAAGAGCATAGCATGGGATGCAAATTGCAAGTAGTTCCTAGAGTAAAAGGGAGATAATTAGACAAAATGAACTAAAGAGATAAGTAGAGGCCAAACACATAACAGGTTGCATATGTCACCCTACAGAAATTAAATTTTGGTTTGAGGACAACAGAAGCCCTTGCAAAGAAGGAGCGTGTTGAATTACAGGCTCAGATGTGAGCTTTCGAGCTATCACTTGACTTCATTGTGGAGAAAGGACTGGAATGTCAGATAGGAAAGAGGCTGTGGCAGTAATCCAAGCAGAGCTGATGGTGGTCTGAGTTTGCATAATGTCCACGGAGAGAGAAAGGAGATGCATTTAGTTGCTGGAGCTTCCACAGGACTTGCTAACTGACTGAATGCAGAGGTGGTGGTGAGAATGAGGAAATCGCAAGGGTGAATCAGGCTTCCGGGGCAGGGGTCATCTGGACAGGCGGAGGTATCACTCTCCGAGAGAGTGAACTCAGGAGGTAGAGCAGCAAGCCTCAGGGATGAAGAAATCCAATTCTAGACATGTGACATTTGAACATCCAATTGGAGATGGCCTATGAGTGGTTGAACACATGGGTCTAGAATTCAGGAGAAAGATTGGGCTAGAAATATGGATGTGGTAAATATCAACATATGGGTGTAAATAGAATTCACAGAAGATGAAATAATATAAGGAGAGTATAAAATGGGGAAAGAAAATGAGCCAAATCTCCCCAAAATGGTAGCCAATGTCTAACTATCTCTGTCATGTGACAGGAGTATAATGGCATAGTTCTTCTTTTTAGAAACTCTAATGCATTGCCTGGTTTTCCTTATATGAAATAGATGAGGGAGACTGAGCTGGAAAATGCATAGCATGACTGTGGCATGTCTTGACCACTTCTAAGCAAGCAAATTGATCACTCAAAACCGAGGTACCATCATCATAAACATTTTCTAATTGCACATCATCAAAACAGCTGGCGGGGTTGAAGCTAATGCTAGCTGGAAAGAAGAGGCTGGAATATCATATCTAAAGCAACGTGCTTCAACTTCAAAGTGATCTTTTCCCTCCCCCATGAATTGGCGTGCTTACACGGGTGATATGCTATGGTGGAATTCAACGGGCATTAGAGTCGGAGTTAGAGTCTCCACTCTACAAGCCTTCACCTTTTCTCAATCACGAGCAGTTGAAGCAGCCCCAAGGAATGTTCTGGCACATAGCATGCAACAATGACTGTAAAACTGGAAGTTTAAAATAAGCTTCCAGTTTTTGCCACATACAAATGAGTTACCCTCTCTGGGTCTGTTTCCTCATCCAGAGGACGGGGACGTTCGCAGATCACCTGAGGTTTCCATCAGTTCCAAAATCCTGTGGCCGCAATCACCCGCAGGAGTAAGCCAAGGCACAGACTGCGCTGGGAAGTCCTGTAAGCCTGAATCCACCACCGCCTGAGGAGGCAGACGAGTACTTGTAGCCTGTAGCATTCTCAGTCAACATCTGTCATCACTCAAAGCCCAGGTGGACCATGTGCATATATTCATTTTTCCCTCCATGGTCCTGGTTTTCATTTGCTCTGAAATACTAGTGTGACTACTTTTATCCCTAGCTATTGAATACAATCTAGATTGCCATTCTGGTTTATTAGAAGGTCATTTCCCATAATTTCCCCCCAGCTCTATCAATGCACTACGGCTGGCCATTTGTAACTCAATATACCATTTCCAATACCGTAACTTTTACATTTTAATATTGTTTTTAATTATGGAGCACACATATGGGAAAAAATGATGAGCATTAATGTAAAGAAAACTATATTTTCATTGAAACCATTGTTTCATCTGTGGGTGGCAGGATAACGTACATTTTTAAAACTTGGAATTGAAAGGTTTGCTGATCACAGAGCTAATTTAACTTGACTCCCCTAAAGTTCCCCTAAATACCTCCAACTCCGAGAGCTGGCCTAATATTTGCTCATTTGTTTCTTCACTCCCTTTTCCTCTTCAACTCCATTTGATGTATGTTTCCCAGGACGTAGCGGAGACTTCTGGCCAGAGAAGCTGGAAAATGTAACTCCGAATTTCCTACAATCTCAGCTCCACTTTCTCCCGCGCTCCCGCCCAGGGGCTGGAGCTTTGTTATTGTCACGTGGCCCGGGCGGACGCTGGCGGCCAATGGGCGCGCGCCGGGCCTCGCCGCCCCGCCCCGAGCCTCGCCGCGCCGGGACTGCGCGCTCCGCGGCGGGGAGGAGGCGACAAAGTTTCTTTTGCGGGCCGGAGGGGGCTGCGCGCCGGCGCCGCTCGCCCTGCAGCTCCGCCGCGGCCGGCCGATCCTTTTGGCTTCCGTCTCGCTGCTCCGGGGCATGCAAGGGCCCCGCGGCTCGGAGTGAGGGACGGGAGCTGCCTTGGGAGTGCGCGCGCACGCGGCCCGGAGCGAGGCGGCCGCCCTCGGCGGGACTTGGGGACCCGAGTGCGCAGCGCCGGGCCGAGCGCGAGGCCGCAGGAGCGCGATGGGCGCGCCGAGGCTCCGCGCGCCCGCGGCGGCGCTGGGGCTGCTGCTGTGCGCGGCGCTGGGGCGCGCGGGCCCGGCCGAGGGCGGCCGCCGGGGCGGGCGCGGGCCGCTGGGGAAGCCTCCCGGCGGGGCGGCCGAGCGCCCGTGCCCCGCTCCCTGCCGCTGCCTCGGGGACCTGCTGGACTGCAGCCGCCGGGGGCTGGCGCGCCTGCCCGAGCCGCTCCCGCCCTGGGTCGCTCGGCTGTAAGTATTCCTGGTGCGGGCGGGGGGCGAGGGGCCGGGGCGCGCGGCAGCCTTTTCCGGGGCAGCTCCTCGTCCGGGCCCAGGCCTCGAGCGGCGCTCCGTGGGGCTGGAGAAGGAGCCGTCGGGGCCCCAGGCTCCCTCCCCCGGGGCCTGCGGGCCGCGCAGGTGGGCGCTTGGCGCGCCCCGCCTTGCCGCAGGTGGGCGAGGGGAGGGAGCCCCTGACAACTCCAGCGGAGAGGCGACCTCCTGCGACTGGAGCGCGCCCCGGGGGTTTAGATGCGGCGGGAGAGGTGGTCGCCGGCGGACTCCGGGCGTTGGCAGTTCTGCCTCTGAGGGTGATCCGCTGGCTCCCCTAGACTTCCTGAGTGGTTCAGGGCCCTTTCCTGCTCCGAGCTAGTCATTAAACGCTCTCCTTTGCTCTGGGAAGGCCCCTCAACAGAGTTCGGTCACTCTCCAAACTATGGTCGACATCTTTTGTTGTTCCCTTCCGTGTGCTTCATTTCGCATTAGAAAACTCCATAAACCCCCCTCCTCGACCGTTTTGTGACACCTCCTCGTTCTGGTAAGGAGTTGGGAGGACTGATCAGTAGGTGTGGAAGGGAAGGAGTTGGAGTTTTCCGAACCAGGGGCGTGATTTCTGTAGCTTCTCAGCGCGCCCAGACGGTTTAGGAGAGAGCGCTGGGTGCTGTTATGCAAGTTTTTGGACGCCAACTGTGAAGTCTGAAAACCTGAGATCTCTGCCAACTGCGTGGAAGAACAAGGAGGAAAGTGTAGTTTAGTTGAAAAGGCTGATTCTCTCCAAGTATCGTCTCCTTATTCTCTTCCAGAGTTAGTTTTGTTAAAATTAGAGGACTCGTGTAAACTTGTGTTTCTTTTTTTCTTTTCTTTTTTTTTTTTTAAATAGTTACCCTGTTTAAAAGCAATAAAAGTGCAGTCCATCTTTAATCCTTAGATTTGGGCCTGGCGGAATCGCAATGGAAATTCTAAGTTCTTCAAACAATTCTGGTCAACTATCCTAACGCCCTCATAAGAGGGATAGAAAGTTTGGTCAGTAGTTTAAGAAACTGTGTTCTTAAATCGTTGTGCTAATCAGAATCTTTATTTGTGAATTGTAGGATTGTTGGCCACCAAAAGCGTGTTCTTCGTGTTAATAAACTTTAGTTTAATCGAAAGGTAGAATTAGAGAGTTTTAGAGTGGTGTTTAATCTCCGATCATGGAATGTCTCATTTAGTAGTTTTTATTACAATTGAAGAAAGAGATAAGAGCTTTAACCTAAAGCAGGAAGACTTTCAATTAGTTGTGGCTAATTCTGTTCAACTGCCTCTAGTGGAGGTCATGCTGCCTTATTCATGAAATGTGAATGGCTCTATTGACAACATATGGGACTGAACGTTTGAATGATTGGAGGTGAACACCTATGAGTAATAGAGGGATGAGAAGAAGAAAATGAATCTAGTGCTTCCTGGGGTGTGTTTAGAAATGCTGGATCATTCAGCAAATCTACCTATATTCAGTAGTTTCTCAGTATCAGGTGGCATACTGGATCCTGCCAGCATGCAGTATGCTTTTTTTGTGAATTTGGATGTTTTTAAAAAATAACTGTATTGCTCTTGATTGGAAGTTGAGTTAAACCAAAAGGGGTTTGATACCTATTTCAACATTGTCTTAAAAGTAGCTGGCCTAATTAGGATTTTGTTTTGCAGATAATTTGGTGGCACACTAAAAACAAATTACAGTTTATTTGGTTAGCACAATCTTTAATTACATTTCCGCTAGCAGTAAATTGTCTTGATACAAGGCCACATTCCTTGAATGTATGTGAAAATAAGTTCCACTTGTATAAATAAGCTCTAGGTTTGTTGTCAGAAGCCCCACTGTGATCACTCATCGGACAGCTCTGTCAGTCTTGTGCTTGTGTGACTTTTAACCAACTTTGTAGTTGTCACCAAGCCATGTGGCTAAATTCTTTATCGTAAGTGTTTTTTCTGTTTGTGCCTAAAGTTCTAGATGTCTAGTCTCTCCACCTTGGGAAGAAGTGAAACACCTGGAATTGACCTTTAACTTCTCTATTCCTTGGTGTCTGGAACGGGAGACATAAGAAAGCTGCTGCTTAATTTTGCATAGTTAGAAAGGCTTTTAAGTCGACTGTTTCCGAGTTCAGAAATAAGTAGAAAAATGCATATTGTTCTTCGCCGTATCTCAACTTCCTTTTCCTTAGGTAATGAAGATAGTGAAAGTTTGCCTTACGATTAGTTTACGAGAGCACTGTTCAGAAAAAGCTTGGTAGACCTTTTGTGCTACCAAAGACAAACAGAAGTGTATCTTTTGTTCTATTTGTTGAACTTGCAAGTTAAAAAATCGGTGTCTCTACCTATGATACATGTGTGTATGTGTCTTTCACTTTATTCAGTTGTCGTTTATTGCCATAGGAATCCCATGTGTGAAAAGTTGAATAGTTTGAGCTGTAAAATAATAACATTGTAGTTAGTTCTCCCTTCAGAGTAACTTCTAGTACTTTAAGGAAAGTGGCTCTTAAAACAGCAACTATGTGAAGTGTTGCTTACAACTGCCTTTAAAGGCAGACTTGAGTTTACGTTTAGAGTTATGGCTTGTGCTTCCCAAGAGGTCTGAATCTAGTGGTCCTGAGAATGTGGGACTTCGCCAAAAGAGGGAAAAGTTACTCAGTTGCCAATGAGAATTTCAGTATTATTAAAATCTCACTGAAATTTCAGGATTCTTTATCTTATCACATAGAAATGTTTGAGTGAGCTGAGCTCAGGCGAGAGTGCGGAAGGTACACACTGCTGGTGTGGCTCTTTGGTGTCTGCATGTTATAAATCCTCTGTTCAGTCCCCCAACTGGGGCTGGGGTGGGGAATAGTCCTTATGGTTTTCACAGCTGCTTTTCTATATTTTCCAGACTAAAACTTGAACATAGCAGGCTGATTTATGAGTCACTTTGGATCCATGTCTTAAAACAGCTGCAGCCTGCCGTCTTGTTTTTCAGCTTTCCAGATTTCTGCTGAATTAGCAGCTCCTCAGGCCCCACTGGGATTGATTAAGAAGCTGGGCTGGATTTGCATTTTACAATTGGACTTGGAAGTCAGATTTCCAAATGCTAAAAGGAAGAAAATGAGAGCTGGAACCGAATGTTGTAAATGAATTATTTTCATAGATATTTGTTCTCTTGCTAATATGCAGGAAGAGAGACTGCTGTCTCCCACATAGAGTTTGATTTTCAAGTATTTGGCCAGCTGAGTTCTGGGTAAACAGTTAACACCTCCCTCCGTCACCTCCTTTCCCATTTATGAAGCTCACTTCAGAAAACTTTCTCAAAAGGTTTTCTGGGGAAGATAGTCAGTGTTGGACATTTAAAAGTGAAGACTCTGCCTTCCTGATTGACTGTTCTTATGGGTTTAAGAAAGCATCGATATTGTCCAACTTGAGTTTGTTTTTAATGGTCTAGCCGTAAAAACAATATAAGGAAGATTTAGGAAAATGTGACATCCTTTAACTGGAGAGTAATCGTTTCTGAAACGTAAACTGTATTAAATCTAAATTTAGGTGCATTAAAAGTTTCATGGCTTTAAGTATTTAGCAGTAAAAGTCACTTAAGGGGTGATTTTTTTTTTCTCCCACATATAATGTGGTTTTAATAGTACACAAAACTCAGGAATGGAAGTGTGTTGCAATAACTGAAATATTTAAGGTTGCCAGCTCCTGCTTCTGCATCCGAAATAAGTGGCCCCCAGCACGTGCACTGTTCTCTCAAGGCGGTTTCTCATTTTAAAGGCCTTTTGTTGGAGCTCTCATCCCATTACTGTTTGAAAAAACAGTTAAGCACTCAAATCTCTTTTCTCACAGGCTTGCCCTGTGAAATAATCCTTAAAATGAAGTGGAGAGTGCCGTCTTAGTTTTTCTAATTAAAAAGAAAATCACCTGTATTAAATGTAAATGCCAGATCGGGTCCCCCTTTCCTTTTAAAACTTGAAACAATGGGAGATGCCGTGGCATGTTGGTTCAGTGTGCTTTAGTTGAATGGGTCCAAGTGAGCCTTTCTGTTGATTCAGGCCACCTCCCAGGTGAAGGACTCTTTGCCTCGGTTGTTTTTTAAACCCTGTGGGAAATCTGTGACTGTCTGTGGTGCAGAAAGCACACAGGTTTTGTTTGAATCCTAACGTGAGTTGTTGGGCTCACGGCTTCCTTGATGAACTCCAGATGGACGTGAGCTGGGCTGTGAGGGAAAGTGTCTGGCTCCAGCGTGGTGAGTATGCACAGCAGTGGTTGTAATTGCAGGATTTTTATAGTTTAAAGACTGTGCCAGATTTTTTTTCGTGTTATAACTCTACCAGAACAAATCTACTCATGTCTGTTACTGTCTGGTAGGTCTTTAGGCAAACATGTTTCAAATAAAACCTTTGCAGATTTTTTTTTAGGTGAAATAGAGAAATCCAGGTTTATTCTCAAAACAAAAATTCAAAGATGAAAGATCTCTTATTTCTAATTGTTAACTAATGGACATGCACTAAGGCATACTGCCTCTCTGGATGTGATTTCCCTGCCTTTCTCTCTTCTTTTTTGGGCATACTTATGTGTATAACAAATGGTTCGTGCTTTTCTCCAATCCAGTTTGGTTATTTAAAAATCTTCATTTCTAAACACTGAAAGACTTAAATTAGTAAGGGTTAGTTAATCTCTTTCAGTAGGAGAGCTTTAAGACATACTGTGTGTTGGCCTGTTTTTCAGTAGCTGTTCAACCATTTCATTTCATTCACCATTTTGAAGGTACATATTCAGTATGTAGACTGACACATAAGGAATATAACAAAATATTTGCTGGGTTTTGTTTCATATTTTGAATCTTAAATGCTGAATGAGATGACTTTCCTAGCCTAGATTATTTCACATGTAGGAGTTTTGTTTTGCTTTTTCTGTTTTAAATGATGTCCTGTGGAAATTGTTACCAAGTTAGATTGAGTCTTTGAGTAAGAAGCAGATTTATTTTAATGATTGAAAAGAAATCTGATCACAGGTTTCTGTACACTCTGCTTAACTTTGTTAGGTGGTTGATGTGGTTTAAATTATACATTACATTGCCAGATAGTGAGATTTGGGAAAGTCAGGAAAGCAGAGGGTTCAGGTTATTTTCAACGCTCTCAACACACACACACACACACACACACACACGCACACATGCACACATGCACACATACATACATACATACACACACATGCACGCACAATGATACTTTGAATAATTTGGTGCCTTAACCCAGGGAAATAAATATCTGTGAAAAGCAATTTCTATTTTGTTTGACTGTAATAAGGACACTGGTGCTTAATTTCATGATAATGAAAAGGTTTCTTTAGAGGTTTTAGTTTCAGCAGCCTGCCTAATTAGCCACTTTTTGTAAGCCATGACTTCATCATATCACGTTGGGGGTGAGGGGATGGTAGGGGATGGGAGGGTGAAGCGAAACAGCCAGTTCACAAAAGATCTGTTCACCCTGTGCCAAAACACATCTCCGAAAACGTTTGTGGGCTGAAAGCATTTGAATCTGCCAGCCTCCTAAACTAATTTTGTCCTCAGAGTTTGTATTTTTGAGTTTGGTGTTTGGGTTGCCATCAAGTTTATGGAACAGGATAGACCGGTTATTTCTTATGTTGTCACTAGTGTTGATAGAGATGTTTCGTAAACCCACTCTGTCCTGCGCATCATTAGGGACTATTAATGATTTTTGGAAACTGCTTATAATTTTATTTTTGTTTTCTCACAGGGATTTAAGTCACAACAGATTGTCTTCCATCAAGGCCAGTTCCATGAGCCACCTTCAGAGCCTTCGAGAAGTGTGAGTCTTAGTGATTTTCTCTTTGAGGTTTGAATAAAATATACAACCCATCACACTGTTTAACTGTAAAGAACATTTGCATTGTAATAAATTATTTAAAATTTTTAACTTGGGAGGTATCTTTAAATAATTTTATAAATTTTTCACCTCTATGAATTACAGATTACCTAATCAGCTTTTTTTCCCTTTTTTGGCGTTTATAGGAAACTGAACAACAATGAATTGGAGACCATTCCAAATCTAGGACCAGTCTCGGCAAATATTACACTTCTCTCCTTGTAAGTGAATGTTGGCAGGGTTTCTCACGTGTGTTTGCAAGGACTGCGGGTAGCAGTTCCATCTGGTCTAGAGCAAAGATCTTATGAGCAAAATATGAATGCTTCCTTCAGTGGATAACGGAGAAGCATTCTTTAAATGGGTGGACTTGTTTTCCAGCTCTCTCTTTCTCCTCAATTTTAAGTATCGTTGTAACAGCCTGCTTTCACACTTTGCCATCATTGCCCAACTGGTCTCCAAGATTCAGAGAAGCCGCCCTTGCCCATTAGAGATGTGTATTTGGTTATATTCTGTCGACTAGGACTTTAATTCTGGGGTTACTCAATGGTTGGCCTGCAACCCGTGGATTAGGTAGGACAGAGTTCCTACTGGAGAATGAGCGGAGTTGTTTTGTAGGAGAAATGGGAGCTGCTAATAAGACTTGGGAGTATCCTCTTAAGTGCGGTGCCCGCAGTGGAAGCCAAGGTGCAGAAAGATCAAGTCAAAATAGCAGCTTTATACAGCTAAAATTACATTTTGTGATTGAAGTTTGAAATACCGTTGATGGCATTTTGCAAATAGGAGCTTTCAAATAAAATTAAAATTGTGTTAAGTTTTCTGTATTTTTAGGGCAGATAACATGTTTATATTCATGCATTGGAGATGTTTTGGAATAATTTTGACTTCCAGCATTTAAAGGTAGTATTTAGAATGTGCATGTTTTTAATTTCTAAAATTAAGTAGCTTACCTTAATCTTGAATACTTAAAAAGTATGTTTAAGCCACTAAAGTTAAAAATGTTTTTATCTTGTAAACAACTTAAGGAAAAACCCACCATTGTTAGTTGCTTCTGGGAAGGCGTTGGGAGGGTTGAAATTATACAGTAAATTTCAGGAAAGCTGTTCAATTAATTAAAGTGATCACTACCCAATTGCTTACATCTGGTGATTTATAGAGGTTTGTTTTTACTGAGGGCCCAGGTCAGCTAAGTCATGGGTGCAGCCGCTGTGTCTGCTCTCCTCTGTTTGAATAAGAACTAAGTGACATTTGATACTGATGTGGTTTTTGCAAAGATCAGAAACAGAAAGGAATGAAAGAAAAAGCAGTTGGTGTTTGACAAATAAACACTGAATGTAAAAAACAGTTTTATTCTAGCATTAATACCTGTTTTCTTTGTCTTTGACAATTGCTTAAAATTTTGGAGTCTAGATGGAGTACTGGTTTTGGTGTCTTAAACATCTTTAGCTGTTCTAATTTGACCAGTGGGGCCTTTTTACACCCCGGGGAATACTACCTCACCCTTCCGTCCTTGCGTTGTGTATTGGCAGATTCTGTCAGCGTGTTCAAGAGAGCCTTGAGGGTCCTTGCATGCTTCCCGGCTGAGAGGGTCTGCAGTGGCGTTGGGGAATCTGAGTGGGTGGGGAGAGCAGTCTTCTCTTTGGCATGGTATAGAGTTGGAAGCATGGGAACTTGTAAGGAAATTAGCAAGCTCTGTTGGAAATAAATGACCTTGCTATTTTATACTTTAAAGCTATAATTTGTCCTTAGAAAACTGAAATGAAATCTGGAAAGTTAGAAACCTTTGAAATTTGAACTCTTCTCCATATTTCTGTATTTCACTCTAGCGAGTGCTGAATTATCTTTACCGAACTTGAATCATCTCACTTTCTTTCCCCTTAATTTCTTTCAGTGCGTCTAACCAGGGATTGCTTTGTTCATCTTATGTAACAATAGATGCTATTTATTTATTACCGCCTTACATAGAATCTGGGAAGGGTCATTTATGTGATGGGCCTGCTTAAATCTGGATAGTGAAAAATTGCTTGCATGCCTATGAAATGTCTTGAAAAATTCACTCTCTGGCTGTTTTCTTCTACTCATTTTGTTTTCTTCTGTAGACTTCTTTGGATATTGCAATACACAGTTATTGTTTCCAAAGCATTGTTAATTTCTGTCTTGTGCTGTGTAGGGTAGAACATTTTCTTTTATACAGAAGTGCTTGAAAATCGTCAGAGCTAAAAGTCAGTACTTAAATACATTTCTGAAATTTCAAAAAAATTTGTTAAATGGTATAATATGATTCGGATTAGAAGCGTGCTGTAGCACCACAAGTAAGTCTTGTATCTTTCAAAGGAGTTTTCAGGACTGATTGACTTTTATTCTATCAAGACCTTTTTTTTTTTTACATTTTGTGGAGGAAAACATTTTTATGAGTAATTTGCATAAATTAAATAACTTGAAAACATGTTAAAGAAAAGGAGAAATTAGGGCCAGCCCCGTGGCCTAGTGGTTAAAGTGCCATGTGCTCCATTTTGGCGGTCTGGGTTTGCAGGTTTGGATCCTGGGTGTGGACCTACACCACTTATCAGCCATGCTGTGGTGGTGACCCACATACAAAATAGAGGAAGACTGGCACAGATGTTAGCACAGGGCTAATCTTCCTCAAGCGAAAAAAGAGAAAGATTGGCAGTGGATGTTAGCTCAGGCCAATCTTCCTCAGCAAAAAAAAAAAAAGAAATAGTTGGAGTCTTGAGCATAAGATTTGATGTCAGTGCTCCATATTGTTGCTGCTCTTTATAGTAGGGACTCCCAGCTGGAGGAGCTGGACGCAGAGAAGACCTTCCTCTTCCCGCAGCTGCAGGAGCCCAGAGCTAATATTGGGTCAGAAGGCACCTCATGTCCAGAAATGAATTCATTTAGGCACCCATCCTGATAATGTCAGGGAAGCTTGGCAAAATGCCAGTATCTTGGGTTGATGGCTGGGTGGGTGTTGGACTTCCTTGGGAATAAGGCTCCTCTCTAGCGTTTTTCAGGATCTTTCAGAATGTAGAAGACCTGCGTAGACTTGCTTTTCTTTGAATCCCACGCAACACTAGCTGAGCAGTCAACTGGCATGCTAAGGGCGAGACATGGTTTGTGTTTTTTGTTTATTTTTCTCTCACAATTTCCTAGCTGTGGCAGGAGGTGTATTTTAAGGGAAGAAATGGAATAATCTTTGGAATGAACATGTCTTGTAGTAAAACTGTTGACCTGGCGTTAACTCAGTTGATTTTACCAGATGTGGTAGTTCTGGCTTCCTGGGATTGGCATGAGCTGCCCAAGCATTGGGGTTTTTTTTGAAACCTATGACCTGGGTTTGGGCAGGTTTGAATCTGTGAGTTCTAGAACATTATTATTGAACAAGAGCCATTAGTGGTCATTAAACAGAGGTAGCTGGGTCTGAGTCTTGACACTGCTGGTTTATACAGTATTGCCAACATGCAGATACTTGCCTGGTGTCTTAGAGTTGAGAAGGTTTGGGTCAGTGAATGTCAAAGGGGTACTTGTTAAAAATGTAGATTGCCTGACCCATCCCTAGGGATTCTGAATTAATGGGTTTGAGTGGGGCCTAGGAATATCCATTTTAATACATCTACCCTGCTGATTCTGATCAGATTGTATAAATATTTCTGGAATTACTGATAGGATCCAGTTTATCATAATCAAATAAGCCTTTTCTCATTTCTTATCTCAAAGGGATAGCATTTCTCTCAAGTCCATCATTTTCTTCATAAGCTGTCATTTTCCCAGAGATGACATCATCATTCTTCTAAAGAAGTTATTATAAATATTGGTCACCTTTGCTGGAGGGACCAAGCACTGACGTGTGTTCTCTCTATGGAAAGCCATTGAAGAAATTTAAAGCACAGCGAGGGGGTCAGATTTGCTGTTTGAAAGTGTCACTCTGGCTTTTGTGTGGAGAATGGCTTGGAGGTGTCAGGAGGGCGGTTTGTGGGGGGAGATGAAGAGGAGACCAGAAGTGATGACAGCACTGTCCCGCCTCAGTGCAGCTCTGTCATGTTACTCAACGGTGATCAGAAGCAAAACTCAAGTCAGATGGCTTGCAATCAATTGCTGGCTCTTCCTTTTGCTAGGTTTGTGACCTTGGGCAAGTTTCTGTTTGTCTGTCTGTGTTTCCTCACCTATAAAATGAGAATAATAGTAGCAGCAACTCATAGGGTCCTTGTGAGGCTCTGGAGAGAGAATACACGTAAAACCATCCGGGATACACTGAGTACTGGGTGACCCTGAGCCGTGGTCGTGGTGGTGACGATCATTCATTCAGCTAAAACTTAAGGAATAAATGAACAGGGCCAGCTCTGCTTTAGTGCTGGGAACGCAGCAGTGAACAGAGCAGGCAAACTCCCTCTTGTCATGAAGCTTCCATTCCATTGAGGGACGAGAAAGACAAATGAGCAAACACTTGGAAAGGAGAGAAGACTTGAGCTTGTTGATAAATGCTGGGAAGAAGGATGGACAGAGGGGTAGAGCAGTCTGACGGGGGCCTTGGATGCTGTCAGGAAAGGCTTTTTGAATATTTCGCAAATCCTGCCATGTGCTGGGTACTGTTTTAGAGTCGAGGTTCAACGAAACAGACAGAAATCCCTGCCCTTGTGGTGCTGACACTCTTGTGCAAGGAGAGAGATAAAAGTAAAACGAGGGCTGTGGTCAGAGGGATAAGTGCTGGGAGGAAAGGAAAGCAGAGAGTGCTGTGTGTGGTGGGAGACGGTTCACAGTTTTCAGTGGGAATGTGCCAAGGGACGGACGCACTAGGAAGGCGACACTTGAATCAGGGCCTGATGTGGGGGAGGGGGTCATCCCCTTAAGCCTCGCCAGCCCTGTCCAGGCCCGTCTTACCTTGTACACGTAGCTGTTACACGGTCATGAAATGATTTTGTTTGTATTTTTCTTCCGAACTAGACTAGAGACCTCTGTGGCTGAGCCCTCTTCTCCCCGGCATTTAATGCAGGTATATGGCATACAGTTGGTGTGTAATTAGTGAACGCATTAAAGAATATTTATGGAACAGCCACGTGCACTTAGCATAATTCAGCCTATAAACTGAGTCTAAACTAATGGCTAAAGATTTACAGTGGGGACAAAGCATACTTACGTTTTACTTGTGTTCAACTGTGTGTGCTTGGTAAAAAAAATAATAATTAATTATAACAATAGCAATAATAATAATTAAAAGAAAGAAAAA